CAGTACCAGACTGAGGGAAAAACAAGCACCACCATTTAAAGGGCAGATTTAGAGAGGGTGGGTTTGAATTGCTGTGCTCAGATGGAAACTGGGAAAGACCCAGTGCCATGGACTGGCACCCTGGCAAGAGGAGCTGAACTGGACCAAGCCTGGTGAAAAGAGGGGAATATTCCCCAGGCAAGGAAGGTTTTGTTGGAGGGAATGCTCAGCAGTACACGAGAGTAAAAACACCACAAGAGTAAAAAAGAAAATGAAATAAGATGATCAGAAATTCTCATTATTCCCAATAAATGTGCAGCCCTGCTCACCTGTGTGAGGGGAGGGTCCCACACCTGGCTGGGCACAAGACTGGCACCCACCTGCAGACACAGAGTCCACCTTCCTGGGAGCAGGTCTGGTTCTGCCCTGCACATCCTCCCCCTCGTCCCTGTTCTCCAGGATTTCTTCTGCAGGTTCCCTGGACACCCCAGGGTCCTTCCCTTCCGCCCGAGGACTCGACTCCTGCTGGGCCAGGCTCACACTCAGCTCCTGAGAGTCCTTGCTTTTATAAAACTTGCTGTCACACACCTGCAGGCCAACCCAGAGGCACAGTCACACCCAGGGCCTGTCCATCCCAACCTCTGCTTCCCAACATTCCTGGCCCTGCCAAAGGCTTTGGCACTGTGTTTGTTCTCATTATTATTGGTTATTGTTGTTAGGAGGCACAGGTTTTCACACAGCGGCCACACCAGCATCTTCCACTCAAAAAGCTTGTTCTTAACCCAAAAGAACATCCAAAATGACATCATTTGGCACAGCAAGGAGGGGCAGCAGGGCAGTGAGGGGGAGAGAGGTGGGAGAGGGCTGGGCAGAGCTCCAGGGAGGGAGACACTGCTGGACACCTCGGGACTGACTTCCTTCCTCGTGCCATTATTTGGGATCATCCCTGACCTGCCCACTGACCTTGCTGCTGCAGTGGCTGCAGCTCCTCCTCTTGCTTTTCTTGAGCTTGGGGTCACTGCTCCCCTCGTGGCAGGAACAGGGACACTCCTTCATCCCCTCCACCCACTCCACCTCCTGGAACAGACACACGGGCGCTGAAGGGATGCTGCTGCTGGCAAGCAAAGCACACCAGGACCACTCCAGCCCCCTTGGGAGGCTCTTGTCATGCCCCCCAATCTCTCCCCATGGCCATTGCCCAGCTCAGAGCCCGCAGTGAGGCCCCCCAGCCCCACCTTGTCGTTGTGTTGTCCCCCCATCTCCTTCCTCTTCTTGCTCCTCGCGGCCCCGTGGATCTTGGGTGGCTCGTCCTCCTCCTCCACATCTGGCAAAGACACCTCTTCAAACCCATCAAACTGCAACAAAACAAACACACATCACTGCTCCCAGCTTTGTTTTCCCCAGAGACACAAATCCTGTCCAAAGATCTGAAGAGTTCCCTTCTAACTCTTCTCTCCCACCCCACCGCTTCCCCCTCCCTGGAGCTGCAGCCCCTGCTTGAGTTCTCCCCGTTCAAACCCGTCTCCCATCTCTGCTTTTACCCTTTCTGGCCTTAGAAAAGATTGCTGCACCTCGTATTCCTTCTCCTCTGTCCAGTTGATCTCCTCGAAGTCTCCCATCCTGCTGGCCGAGGGCCGGAGGTGGTCGAAGAAGACAGAGAACTCGTCCTGCAGGTGGTCATGGCCCTTCAGCAGCTGCCACATTTGGGTCTTCAGCTGGAGGAGAGAAATCCAGAGAAAATGAGTCTTGTTCCATGTCACCACCTTGCCCTCTGAAGGACTCTCAAAGCAAGTGGAGCATCAAAGGCTCGTTAAACCTCCAACGTGGATGTCCCTGCTTGCACTGCGACTGCTTCCTGAGTACTCTGAGGTCATTCCACACCCAGCCAGCAAATCAGC